CCCTGCAGAACTCTCCGGGCGCTGCGGGACGTTCCTGCGCGGCCAGCGGGGGCGCTGGTGAGTCACACCCCAGTTTGCCGCGCTCTGAAGTCCCGCGTAGACGAGCCCCCCGGTGTCAGACCACTGGCTTCAGAGACACTTGGGAAGAGCCCAGGCTGCTCCGTTCATCTGGCTCACCTCGCAAGGTCTTTCCTTGGCCCCAGGGTGACACCTTCCTCTGGTTAGAGCAGTGTGTGTGTTGTGGGGGGGAGGGTCTGATTGCCAGGGGGCTGGCCTGGGACTTGGGAGATTTGAGTTCAATCCCCTCCTCTGCCACAGATTCCCTGTGTGACCTGGGGCCAGTCACTTAGTGGCTCTGTGCCTCAGTTTCCCCACGTGTGCAATGGAGATAATCACACGGCCCTGCCTCACAGAGGTGTGTGAGGGTGAGTCCAGTAACGATTGGGAAGTGCCCAGATACTATGGTGACGCGGGCCGTGGAAGGGCCTTAGCCAGAGAGATGGCAGTCAGTTAACAGCGGCGTTTAATCCTGGGGGGGGCTGTGGTTGGCTCTGTGGCCAGGGCGTAGAGTCTGCGCTCACGGGGGTCCTGGATGAGGCGGGATCCCGTCCCCCGAGATGGTGGGATCTGCTTTCGGCTCATTACGATGGGCCCCACCCACTTCCCGTTCACGAGCAAACGGCCCCTCCTACCTGCCTGCATTTCGGACCACAGCTCGCCTACCCCCGACTCCACCAGGAAGGTCCTGCTGTGCCGGGAACGCCGGAGCTGCTCTCTGGCTGTGAGGAGAAAGCAAAGGGATCGGGTGTGAGAGGGACACAGGGCAATGGGGGGCGGCTGTGAGCCGGACAGGCTGTGTGGAGGTCTGACCTTGACCCACACGCCTGGGACAACGGCTCCAGCGGCTCTGCCCAGCAACACCGGCACCTCCAGCTTCTGCCCCCGGCAGCCCCTAGCTTCAGCACCGCTACTCCTGCTGCCTGCAAGCCTCAGCACCTCTCCGGAGGAGTCCGTGGTACAACGGCTGGTGACTTCCGAAGCAGGATCGGGCCCTTCCTGATGAACTCGGGGCCCAGGTGCTGCGCTGGGCCCTCTTGCCGCCTCCCGTTCGTTTGCAGCGCAGCTGAGGGGTGAGGTGCAGGAGCAGAGCTCGGGGGAGTCAGACCGGACGAGCAAACAGTGCTACAGGACACGGCCGAACTGGGGGCGAACCCAGGAGGGGAACCTCAGGACTGGAATAACGGGGGGCTGAGGGGCATCAGCAGAGCTGTGTGTGGGAAGCCCAGGACTGGAATAATGGGGGACTGAGGGTTGGGATTGAGGGGTATCCGCAGAGCTGTGTGTGGGAAGCCCAGGACTGGAATAATGGGGGACTGAGGGTTGGGATTGAGGGGCCTCCGCAGAGCTGTGGCAGTGGGGAGGTTTCCCTATATCTTGCCTGCATCGTGTCTGCCCCAATTGGTGCTAATCGTCTTCCATTTTTATGGCCTTAAAATCACCTCGAAATTGCCAGAAAAAAACCTGCCCCAAATTACCCGTTGGGCTTTCTTGGGAGAGTGAAATCGAAGCTGCCCTAGGCAGGCGTCACCCAGAACTCGGAGACGCTCCAGCGCGACCAGTCAGGCCGTGGTGACAAGGCCCCCTGCTCTGCCCACACATCAGGGACCGGAGTTCCTGGCCTGTCGGGCTGGCCTGGGAGCCAGCTCACGGCTAACTCTGTCACCCCACTGCAGAGCCCCCCAAGAGCAGGGCTGCTGGGAGGGGCAGGTCTCCATCCCACCAGGGGCTGACAGCAGCTGACATTGGTGCTGATGTCTGAACGCACAACGGGCTGCGTAGCAAATCATGGGCAAAGCTTCGGGGCGGCGCAGGGCAGCATCTTTGTTTGTAATCATGTGTGTTATGCATCCGTCCCCCATCATGCCAAAGCACTTAACACACATTACACACAACAGATGCCCATGGATCACGTCACCACCACAATGCAGTCACCTCAGGGGTGGGGCTCAGATGCTGTCCCACAGCGCACAGCAACACTACGAGGCAGGAGAATACTGGCCGGGCGGGATGCAATGCACAGAGTCTGGCCAGGGCACGGGAGTCAACGCCCCTACCGATGTAGACGGGGCAAACAGAGCTTCTCTTCTGAACGACTGAGCAATACTGCGCCCCATGTGCGGGCACCGGTTTAATATCGGCTCAGAGGGCAGAGCGCCCCCTACGGAGTCACCCACACAGCACCCCCTAGCCTCTTAGTGAGGTACTGACTGGCTCAATACTGATAGAGGGACATGGGCCACCTACTTACCAGTCCCCAGCATTTCCCTTGGAAGGCTTCCAGCCTTCATGCGGCTCAGCTGTAAGATCTGACATGACCAGCACTTGAACCACAGCTGGCTTGTAACTCCCGTCTCTCCTCTGCTGACCTCACCCGGGACAGGAGTGGACAGGATGGCGCTTTGGCTCCCATGCTGTTCCTGGGTTGATTGGCACTTTGGGTGGAGTTTCTCCCCCCGCCCCCGAATCTCTCATTATGCTGGGCGGGGAGGAAAAGCAAAGATGCCAGATAAGAAGCTGGGCTGGGCAAGATGTGTTTGGTTGATGAGGCCAGGAAGGGCGGGGAGATGTTTGGAGAGGGTGGGGCTACCCGCCGGGGGATCTATTTTCAGCTCTCTGGGATGTGCTTTTCTGTGTTAGCTCATCAGCTTTGGCCCAAGGATGCAGCAACAAACGACCAGCAGGTCGCTCAGTGCTCCCGCCCCACAAAAAATCTCGCTGTGTGAAACGTAGACACGGGCCATAGGGAAGAAACAGACCTATGGGCTTGGCCTGAGCCCACAGCGCTCTGCGGTACCTCTGCTGCCATTCATTAATGATTATGATATTAACGCTATAACAGCCAGCAGCGCGCTAAGCACCGTACACCGCGTACAGACAGGTCCCTGCCCCCAAGATCTCACAGGCCAGAGGCCAGATGCTCAGCTTCAGTGGGGCAACACTGACATACCCCTGGGAAAGCTCTCGCCTTGTAGTCGCCATTTACGTCTGCTTTGGCCCCAGTGTCCTGAGCAAGGACTCTCCAGCCGCGGTAAAGCTGGAGCAGGGATCCCAGACGTCCTGATATTAGGGGCTTTCTCTTATATATGCAACTATACCTCCCCTCCACCTGTGGGGAAAAAAAAGTGTTCTGGTTTTTCACACTTGCTACCGGGTCACCCTAAGCTAGGGCACTTCCTCGGAGGTAAATATTACAGAGCCTGCAGAGGAACCTAGGGCAATGAACTGTGTTGAAGCAGCACCGCCCTCTGCTGGAGGGAATCAGAGCTGCTTAGCCGTGTGTCAGATCTTCTATACTGAGCGGAGATTCTCCTTTACCTCAAGTAGCTTTAACCAGGGCTTTTAAAGCAAGGAACCTGGGTTCTGCCCTAGTAGTGCTCTGAAGTTATCAGTGGCCTGGTGTCAACCTTGAAGCTCCTAGACAGCTCGGGATTTGCTCTAATGTTCTGTGGTGGGACCGCGCCTGAAAGGCAGGTTGAAAGCTCAGCGGCTCTGAGTTTAGCGGGAGGAAAACGAAAGCCAAGGGCCAAGAGGGAGCGGGACAAACACAAGCATGCAGAGGGAAACCAAAGGCTTAGTGAGACAGAGACAGTTTAAGCTGGAAATTTAAGGCCCGGAAAGTAAGGGGTGGATGTGGGGACCCCCAGGGCAGATTGGGAGGAGAGCAAGAGATGTTTTTACAGATGAGAGACCTGTAAGAAAAGAGGGTTATGACCATGGAAGACTTTAATTACTCAGCTCTTGACTAGGAAAACATCTATTGTCTGCTCAAAGCCGACCAGGTGTCTGGAGATATTAGAGCAAGGCAGGATATTTGCTTCTCTAATGCAGTTTGTCAAGCAGCCAGTCAGAGGCTCTTTGGAGGAAATGAACCAAGCAGAAGGAAGGCAGATGCTGGGCGAATAGATGAGCTGGAGATGGTACAACAAGAGGGGAAATCTTGTGGTTAAGACACAAAACCAGCCAGGGCAAGTAGCGCCACTCTTCTGTGCCTTGGTTTCCCCATCGGTAGAAGGCGGACAGTTCTAGCTGTTTAGCTGGCCGCCATGACTATAGCATCTCACAGGCATTAACAGTAGGGAAGAATGATTGTTCCCATTTTATAGCTAACACCACCACCCGGCTCGTCTCTAGCGCTATTCATCGGTAGAGCTCAAAGGAGGGCGGTATCATGATCCCCATTTTACAGACGAGGAACCTGAGGCCCAGAGAGATTAAGTGACTCACCCAAGGTCATACAGGGAGTCTGGGGCAGAGCCAGAAATCACATCTAGGTCTCCCAAGTCCCAGGCCAGTACATCCACCACACGACCATCCAGCCCCAGTGAGGCTGGGCGGACAAGCAGAGCAATACTCTAACCTGCTCTGAGCTCATCTGCGAGAGAGGGACATTATTACGAACTCCTGGTACAGATGAGGAGAAGCCTGGCTGAGTGGCTGGGCAGAAGGCATGACAGAGCGGACAGCTCTGGACAAACTCCTCCGTCCCGCGATGGACCCTGGCGCTCCCTGTCAAATGACACCTTCTGGTCAGGCCAGAGGCCTGCGTCTGGCTGCTTTCGACTGACAGCACCTGCCTTGCAGCACAAACCCTCCCTGGTTCCAGCACAAAGACTGGGCTGACACTCAGCACGCGTGGTCCCTCGTGCCAACGTGGGCTAGTGTCCTGTGGGCCGAGCTAGCCACGCGGCACCCCGTGCTGTGGAGACGACAGTCATGCCGCTGGCACTCACTGAGTCGATCTGAGCCTCGAAGGGATTCAGGTGCCCAACTCCCATTGACATCGGTGCTGCTGCCCCAGCCGAGGACGGGCTGCAGGACACAGACAGACCCCGTGGTTCTCGCAGCATCAGCGCTGGATTAACACGGCCTGTCCTGCCTAATGTCCCTGGCCAAAGCACCCCAGGACTGGAGCGCAGCCTCCGTCGCAGCTGGCCACAGCATTGCTTTCTCGGAGCAAAGGGGACAGTCCTGGCTGAGGGACCCTGTTTACCCACAGAGAAGATCCAGCAGGCCAGTGGCAGGGCAGGGTCACTGCTGTCTTCTGCCTGGCACGGAGGGGCGGCCTCTGGGAGTGGGAAGGGCCTAGTCAGCCCATGCCTCTCCGTTGGGACGGCCAGCAAGGTGGCCAGTTAGTGCTGTAGACCCTTGGCCCACGGGCCCTGGGCTGAGACCGGCCAGCTCGTTCCACAGCCGTGATGCACACATCCAGCTTGCACCTCTTGGCAGGTGATGAGGGAGAGGCCATGCGGGATGCAGGGCAGAAGGCGGCACCTTCCCAGATGTGCTCTGCTTTTCTGCAAGCCGCAGTAGGGGAAGGAAGGGGTGGCCCAAATTGCAGAGCTCCATGTGATTAGTGACCTCAGTGTCTGGCCCTGCCGCAGTGCCTGAGGCCAGACCAGATTCTGTTCTCAGCTACACCGGACTGCCGTGGTTCCCAGTCATCCTGGGGTAAATCCAGAATCACCCACGGACTGCCACGGGCTTGGAGCCAGATTCTGATCTCCGCTACTCTCGTGTAAATCCAGCCTCACCCTGCTGACGTCAGTGTGTGTCTCTCTAATGCTCAGGCTCGTCTCCGGGATCGCGACGTGATGGCGCGACCGGGGATTTACGCTGAGCAGATCTGGCGAGCTGGACCTGTCAAAGGCCAGGCACACTCCACTTGCTAGGAGTTCGGGGTCGTGGATCTGACTTGGAACATCCAGGAAGCTGCAAAGGCCGTCCGGGAAGCCAAACCAGACAGCGTCACCTCAATCAAGTCCCGAGTGAAGGGGTGGGAGGGGTCATTCCCAAACAGCCCTGACATCAGCCAGAACATTTGGACTTTTCGGTGACCAGCCAGGGCCAAATTCTGCTCTCTCTTCCACCAGTGTAAATCCACAACAAAGGCAGCTGAGCTGCTCCGGATTGACACCAGGATCCAGCGCAGGCAGTCAGAAGGAACGGCGCTGCGGGGTTTCTGTAAGCAGAGCCGCCGAGCACCCACCGAGCACCCGTAATGCAGACCAGATGGGGCTGCCTTCCCCCTCTCACACTGAAATTGTTAGGCTTCGTTTTTGTTTTGATACGGGAACCCTCTGACCCGGCCTCAGCGAGCTCAGGAAACGGGGCTGGTTCCGTAGCTAATTTCCCAGAGGGGCCACTCGCTGCTTTGGAGAGACACTTTCCCTGCAGCCACAGGGGGCTCTGAAAGCCCTTGCCTTTCAAAAACACACACATGCACACAGACACACATGCACACACACATGCACACACACACTCACAGTCAAATGATTCCTAGCCACCACACTGCCCACCCAGGTCGCAGGTCCCAATTCCACATGGTACTTCAGCACAAGCAGCCCTTTGGATTTCACAGGGACTACACACGTTTACAGTTATACACGTGCTAAAATATCTGACTGAACTGGGCCCAGACTTGGCCTGTTGAGCTCCACATAATCTTCTTCTCAGGACCTCCACCATCCCCTTTCCCCATGTGTTGGTTAGACTCCATTGCTGTGTCTGGCCTTTCACTCTTCAGGGCAGGGAGTGAGCCTACCTCTGTGTCTGTACAGTGCCTAGCACACATAAGAACATAAGAACGGCCGTACCGGGTCAGACCAAAGGTCCATCTAGCCCAGTATCCTGTCTGCCAACAGTGGCCAATGCCAGGTGCCCCAGAGGGAGTGAATCTAACAGGCAATGATCAAGTGATCTCTCTCCTGCCATCCATCTCCATCCTCTGACAAACAGAGGCTAGGGACACCATTCCTTACCCATCCTGGCTAATAGCCATTAATGGACTTAACCTCCATGAATTTATCCAGTTCTCTTTTAAACGCTGTTATAGTCCTAGCCTTCACAACCTCCTCAGGTAAGGAGTTCCACAGGAGTTGACTGTGCGCTGTGTGAAGAAGAACTTCCTTTTATTTGTTTTAAACCTGCTGCCTATTAAGACCTGGGTCTTGATCTCGGCTGGGGTCTGTGGGTGCTAAAACCAATGAAACTAATGACACATCTCCCATCACCAGAGCTCAGAGTCAGTCGGGGGGATTCTATCTCTAGCAGGTCCCGCGCACTGTCGGGTACAACATCCAGAATTAGCATCGCTTATGATTTGTCTGGAGCTGGCAGTTCATAGATTATAGAGAACAAAACCAGAAGGGACCATTGTGATCATCTAGTCTGATCTCCTGTCTAGCACAGGCCCTGAATTAATGCCTGTTTGAACTACAACAGATCTTTCAGAAAATCATCCAATCTTGATTTTAAAATTGCCAGTGATGGAGCCCCCACCCCAACCCTTGATAAACTGTCCAATGGTTAATTACCCGCACTGTTAAAAATATGTGCCTTATTTACAGTCTGAATTTGTCTAGCTTCAACGTCTAGCCATTGGGTTGTGTTAGACCTTTGTCTGCTATTTTTAAGAGCCCCCTACATCAAATTTCAGTTTCCCATGTAGGTACCTATAGACTGTGATCAAATCACCCCTTCACCTACTTTTTGCTAAACGGAACAGGTTTGTTTCTCACTATAAGGCGGGTTTTCCAATCTGTTAATCGTTCTCGTGGCTCTTCTTTGCACCCTTTCCAAGTCATCAACAGCCTTCCTGAATTGTGGGCACCAGACCTGGACACAGGATTCCAGCAGGGGTCACACCAGTGCCAAATACAGAGGTCAAATCACTTCTCTGCTCCTCCTCACTAGTCTCTGTTTATGCAGCAAGTGATTACAGGAGCCCTTTTAGCCAGAGCATCACGCTGGGATTATTCAGCATGAGCCCCATGGTTTTTTTCAGACTCACAGCTTCCGAGGCTAGATCCCCCATCCTGTAAGGACGGCCTTCCTCCATCTATGACTTTACACATGGCCACATTAAAACACATACTGTTTCCTTGCTCCCCGTTTGCCAACCTAAACCAGATCTCTCTAGATCACTGACCCGACCTATTCATTAGTTACCACCCCCGCAATATTTATATCATCTGCAAACTTTATCAGCGAGGATTTTATGTTTTCTTCCAGGTCATGGATAAAAATGTTAACTAGTGCAGGGACAGGAACCAACCCCACTAGAAACACACCCAATCGATGATGGTTCCCTTTTACAGTTACACATTGAGATCGATCCGTTAGGCAGTTTTTAAGCCAATTAAGGTATGGCAGGTTGATTTTGTATCGTTCTAGTTTCTTAATCAAAATGTCCTGTGATACCAAGTCAAACGCCTTCCAGAGTCTAAGTCTATAACATCAACACTGTTACTTTTATCAACCAAACTGGTAATCTCAGCAAAAAGACATCAGATTAGTTTGACAGGATCTATTTTCCATAAACCCATATTGACTGACAATAATTACATTACCCTCCTTGAACTCTTTATTCATGAAGTCCATATGAGCCCTTCCGTTGTTTCCGCTGGAATTGATGTCAGGCTGACAGGCCTATAATTATCTGGGTTGTCCTGTTCACCCTTTTTAAATACTGGCACAACATTAGCTTTCTTTCAGTCCCCTGGAAATTCCCCAGCGTTTCAAGACTTGTTGAAAATCAGCATTAACGGACCAGCAAGCTCCTTGGCCAGCTCTTTTAAAACTCTTGGATGCAAGTTATTTGGAGCAGCTAATTTAAAAATCTCTAACTTTAATAGCTGCTGTTCAAACTCTTCCTGGGTTACTGTTAGAATGGAAAGAATTTCATCATCATCATGTGGTATGATAAGAACGGCCATACTGGATCTGACCAAAGGTCCATCTAGCCCAGTATCCTGTCTTCTGACAGTGGCCAATGTCAGGTGCCCCAAAGGGAATGAACAGAACAGGGAATCATCAAGTGATTTTTTCCCTGTCGCTCATTCCCAGCTTCTGGCAAACAGAGGCTAGGGACACCATCCCTGCCCATCCCGGTTTATAGCCATTGATGGACCTATCCTCCATGAATTTACCTAGTTCTTTTTTGAACCCTGTTATGGTCTTGGCCTTCACTTCATCTTCCGGCAAGGAGTTCCACAGGTTGACTGTGCGTTGTGTGAAGAAATACTTCCTTTTGTTTGTTTTAAACCTGCTGCCTATTAATTTCATTTGGTGACCCCTAGTTCTTGTGTTATGAGAAGTAAACAACACTTCCTTATTTACTTTCTCCACACCATTCACGGTTTTATAGACCTCAGTCATATCCTCCCTTAGTCGTCTCTTTTCCAAGCTGAAAAGTCCCAGTCTTATTAATCTCTCCTCATACGGAAGCTGTTCCATACCCCTAATCATTTTTGTTGCCCTTTTCCGAACTTTTTCCAATTCCAATATATCTTTTTTGAGATGGGGTGACCACATCTGCACACAGTATTCAAGGTGTGGGCGTACCATGGATTTATATATAGGCAACATGATATTTTCTGTTTTATTATCTAGGATCCCTTTCTTAATGATTCCCAGCATTCTTTTCGCTTTTTTGACGCCGCTGCACATGGAGTGGATGTTTTCAGAGAACTCTCCACAATGACCCCAAGATCTCTTTCTTGAGTGGTAACAGCTAGTTGGGATGATGTTTTCCAATGTGCATTACTTTGCATTTATCAACACTGAATCCCATCTGCCATTTTGTTGCCCAGTCACCCAGTTTTGTGAGATCCTTTTGTAGCTCTTCGCAGTCTGCCTGGGACTTAACTATCTGGAGTAGTTTTGTATCATCTGCAAATTTTGCCGCCTTGTTTACCCCTTTTTCCAGATCATTCATGATGTATCTGGCATTGTAGAAGTCACAAAATGAGACAGTGGAACGAGTTGGCAGTCGAACCGATGGGCACCGAGAAGAGGAGTGCCTTGGGAAAGCGCAGGGTGGAGGGAACTCAGATCTCCCCTAGAGGCAGAAGTGTCTTTAGCAAGGATTTGAATGGGGAAAGTTTTGTGTTGGCAATCTGCAACTGGTCCTAGCATAGAAGAAGCAGGGAGACGGGACTGAGAGAAGAGATGAACAGACCGGCACAGCTGGCGATGCTGATGGGGCTATATTAAGTGGAGAGATGCAGGCTGGGAAAGCCTAGGGGTGTTTTCTGCCCCTGAGTCCCAAACCAGCCCCTGCCAAGCAGCCCCCAGCAGGCTGGCCTGGGACAAGCTCCGTTCTAGTGCAGAGGAAACAGCCCCGGAGGTGGCAACGGCTCTGACATCTCCCCAAAGCCCCCTGGAATACCTGCTCTTTTACTAGCTGGGCTTTGTTCCATCAATGCACCCAAATGAAAGCACACGTGGGAATTTCAACCGCTGAGATCCCTGCTGTTCCAGTCCTGGGACCCCTCCACTGCTCTGCTATCACAGCGCAGCCCAGAGCTGCAGGCCCACCTGCTGTTCCCCACCCTCCATCACCCTCCGCCGGGGCCGGAGCACCCTGGGGGGACTTTCTTGAGCAGAGATGGCCAGTTGTGCTGAATTGTACAACACAGACTCAGTCTGTAGAGGTCGGGCTGGGGCCAGCGAGCTCATCCCGCGTGTGGCCCACCCCAGGGCACAGCTGTCCCCGGATCCCCAGCCGAGGTGTCCACACTACCGCAGTCGCTTACCCTGCCTGAAGCTGGAGTCAATGGAGAGCTCTGGGGCGAGGCCATTGGCTAGAGGTTTGCAGCTCAGGTCAATCAGCTGATTAAGACGGAGCTTCCTGCAATAGATGGACGCTGCTTCCGGCTCCAGTGCGATCAACAGCTGCTCCGGGTTGGCGGGGGAAACCAAGCCGGCCTGTGGAGCAGGGGAAGGCAAGGGGCAGAGTCGGCACAAGGCGGTTACAGGGGTAGGCGAAGGGAAAGCGGCTGCATACGGAGGTCACCGTGTGAGGGCAGAGACGATCGGCGTGGTTATCTGACCCACGGGGGTTCCATGTGGGTGCATGCTCCCCGCAGGGCCCCGCCTTGTGGCGTCAGCGTGGTGAACCATTGAGCTGATCTGAAGGCTTCTGGACTCAGGTTATGAATCAAAGAACCCTCCTTCTTTCCTAGGGTGTCCCCTGCTTTTCCTGCCCCTTTCCCTCCCTGCCCCTGCGGGCCCCAGGCCAGCTAATGTCTCCCATCTCACTGTGGGTTTCATAGCCTATCACTGACCTGTGGAACTCACTGCTGCAGGAAAGGCTTGAGGACAAAGCAAATTAAGTTGGTACATTTTCTAAACACAAGGGTTAGCCGTTGACAGGAATAAGATCTACATCTAGAATGGTGCTATTCAGAATACAACAAACCAAGCCTACCAGTCCTCATGCATGCCGCTGCAGCCTGCAGCCAGGCGTTAACGTCCCCACAGGACAGTATTGTGTAGCTCACCATTTCAGTGTGTGTGTTAATGTTCCCCCCTAGTAGCTGGTCTGCCAAAGAGGATAAGAGCCCATTGCTGCTGCCAGCTAATGGAGTTACCCCTTTACCTCAAACAGTAGAGGCCCAGCTGTAAAGAACATGGAAATCACCAGACTAGAGCAGCCCAGGATCCATCTAGCCCAGTCCCCTGTCTCTCATGGGCAGCACTAGCGGCTTCAGAGGAAGGAGCAAGAACCCCACAGCAGGCAGATGTGGGGGAATCTGCCCCCAGGAGGGTCTCATTCGAACTCCTAATGCCTAGACACAGGCTTGAGCCCTGAAGCCGGAGGCTTTACACCCCTCTAGCTCTGCCTAGCCCGTCGGTGCTGCAGGGCCCAGGCTCGGCCCACGCTGGCCCGTGGTGCAGGGGCTACAACGCTCCTTGCACTGTGGGGTTTTGCAGCCCCGGCCACTGGCTGCTGGAGGAGACGGGAGTCTGGGCTACAGGAGTGGCTGGGGGGCTGCCACGCGACGGCACTGTGGACAGGCTGCTGGGGGTGGGGGAGCCTATGACCAGCTGCTGGGGAGTGCTGCGAGGCAGGCCCCTGGAGGAGCTGCTAGAGGGGTGCTGTTGGGTTGGCCCCATGACCAGCCGCTGGGGGAGTGCTGTGGGGCAGGCCCCGGGGATGGGCTGCTGGGGGAGAGCCATGGAGCAGGCCCCGGGGATGCACTGCCAGGGGGGTGCTGTGGGCCAGGTCCCATGACGAGCAGCGGGGGGAGAGCTGTGGGGCAGGCCCCAAGGATGCGCTGCTAGGGCGGTGCTGTGGGCCAGGTCCCATGACGAGCAGCGGGGGGAGAGCCATGGGGCAGGCCCCAGGGATGGGCTGCTAGGGGGATGCTGTGGGCCAGGTCCCATGACCAGCGGCAGGGGCAGTGCCGTGGGGCAGATCCTGGGGTCTGACTCCTGTCAGACACTGAACCCAGCAGTCAGTTTTGTGTCCCTGCCATTCCCCGTCTGGGACAAAGAGGAGCCCAGCACTGCCAGGCAAACCACGCCTGGGCACCGGCTCCTCTCTGAGAGCAGGCGTCGTTCCTCCCGACCCTGCTGCGTTCTGCGTGCCAGCCTGGCCGAGCCCGACGCTGCTTTATTCAGCCTCAATTATACCCTGCTGTAGCCAGCTAATAAACCCCAGGGACACCCAACCCCTAATCCCCCGCGGTCTGTCGCTCTCTCCTTCCCCCAGCTCCCCCTCCTTTCCCCTCCCCTTCCCCCCTCGCTCTCTGCGAGCAGATCTCCCCGTCCCCACCTCCGGCCTCCACTTCCGTTGTTGATGTGGCTGTGAAACAACCCCACGAGGGGTGGGGCAGAACCGATCTGCGGCGAGGGGCCTGTTCTGGCCCCAGCGCAGACCCGTGTTCTCATCCGCTCGCCGGGAGCCAAGACGCAGTCAGCTGAAGCAGCAGTTTGGAGCAAGCCACAAGCGGCTTGGCAGGCCCTGGGATGAAATCCTCCACAAGCCCCTGAAGGGCCATTATCTTCTCCGGGGGAAGGAAACGCACAAGGATGGCCCTGGGACGTGCTAGCCCCTGGCTTTGCGGGGCAGTACCAAACCAATGTCCCAGGACCAGCCAGAGGGCACTGGGCCGTCTTTCGCAAGAGCTGGGGAATCAAAGTCTTGGAGGTCCTTAAAGAGACCAACAAAACAGGGTTGTTAGTCCCCTCGCCCTAGTCCATGCTGCCTCCCGAGATTACTCCAACGGTTTCAACCGGCGTCCTTCATCCACTGGACTAAACTATCCCGTAGCATTGCAGCGCGGTGCTACGTTCCGCCCTAGAAGTGGCTGCATGAGCCCTCCGGAGAGTCTGTAGATCAGCCTGCGAGGTAACCAAAGAGCTAGTGGGGGGAGGGATAGCTCAGTGATTTGAGCATTGGCCTGCTAACCCCAGGGTTGTGAGTTCAATCCTTGAGGGGGGGCCACTTAGGGGTCTGGGATAAAAATATAGGGATTGGTCCTGCTTTGAGCAGGGCGTTGGACTAGATGACCTCCTGAGGTCCCTTCCTACCCTGATATTCTATGAGAACCAAAATATCTGATCTGAATTACTCAATGATGGGCCCTCCACGAGGGATCGATTGTTGGGAGGGGAGTGGTTAATAGGATGCCTGTTCTAGTTTTACTGAACATAAGAACGGCCACACTGGGTCAGACCAATGGTCCATCCAGCCCCATATCCTGTCTTCTGACAGTGGCCAATGCCAGGCGCTTCAGAGGGAACGAACAGAACAGGGCAATTGTCGAGTGATCCATCCCCTGTCGTCCACTCCCGGCTTCCGGCAAACAGAGGCTAGGGACACCCAGGGCATGGTGTTTCGGCCCAGCTCCAGCAGAAATGCCCATGTGTTCACCAGCAGGAGCTGCTCCCCCACTCTACTGCACATCAGGGTCCCTGAAAAGCACTCCTGGATCAGCCCAGGGCCAGCCCTAGGTGTTTTGCTGCCCAGGGCAGAAAATGTTTTTGGTGCCCCCCAAGAAGATGAGTAAAAAACAAACAAACACCCAGCTGAGCAATGTGGCACTTCTGACAATTGGTGCCCAAGGCAGCCACCCAGTCTGCCTGCCCCTACAGCTGGCCCTGGGCCAGCACTCCAGGGGGATGGAGGACACAGACTGAATTAGGGCATGCGGTCCGTCCCCCAGCCAGTACAAGGGCATGCAGTCACAGCTGGGTTACTGCCGTCAGTCCTGGGCAGCTCTAGAGACACAGGACTTCAGAAAGAAGCGACAAACTCCATCAAGGATTGGCGGAGAAGGACAGATTGTAACTGCCTCGCTGAGTTGAGCGATGACTAACAGGGGGATGTGATAGCCTACAAGTGTCTGGACAGGGCAAGTGTCACGATCCTGCCTGGCTCGTTGAACCCGGGGGCTGCACCACTAAAAGCATGAATGCCATTGCTTGAGGTAAAGGAGTAACTCCCCTAGCTGGCAGCTGTAGTAGACTGTTATCCCCTAGATGCTAGAGGCATCAAAGACTCCACTCTGCTCGCATGAGAGGCAGCTCGTCCCAAGCATCTGAGAGCAGGCGTTCAAGTTCTACTCCAGGTGCTACTTTTGCAACCTTCTCCCAAGGGGCCATCAGGAGGGTTT